ATGTCCACAAGTTACTTAAAATGCTACAAACGCAACAAAATTACCGAAGATAAGCGCAATTAGTGCAAGCAACGTGGCCAGTTAATAGAACATTATTCAGGGAGGCAGAACAAACCAAATAAAGCGGAATGAAATTTAGCCAGCTTAAAAAGACCTAGTTTAAGTGTAAGTTTAGCCCAACTGCGGTGAAGAAGCATCAAGAATGCAACATCAGCCTCAGCATGGGGCAACAGTCTGCAACAGTCTGCGAATAGACATAGAGCCATCAGAAACCATGGGACTCAAGAAGGTACAGAAATAGTAAAAGAAAACACAACAAAACACATAAAGTCCCTGGTTTCGTCAGAGGGTGATCTAAGGTATAAAGAATCATAAGCAGAGAAGCTGGACTTACCCTGAAAACCTTTATGCCGTAAGCAAATATTCAGGGTCAAGGCACCTACACATTGTGTTAACAACATACCGTCACAAACATCTGGCTATCATGCAAAAATAAGGTGGCACTGGCGAGACAGCTTCCTTGTGGCTTTCACTACCACGCATCATAAGCAGCCATTGCGCCGCAGATAACTCAACACCAAACACACTTTAAACAGGCAATCCGACTAGCAGACGGCAGCAGACGTGTCACTGGTGTCGGTTGCGAGCCATGTCCTGTAAAGTCGAGCCAAGCACAAGGCGAATCGCGTGGACTCCAACCCGGAAGGCGAGACAGGCCAACAGTACCCAGTATGGTCGTCAGTGCCATGTCAACTTCTGTCCACCTGGAGCTTCGCGCCACCCTACACCTGGCAGACTAAACAAAGCCCTCCTAGGTAAGCGGTGACGAGGCATACGTAGCAGGTGCCCAAGCCAACGCAACTTATTCAATGCTATCTGTTGCTCTATGGAGCTAGCATGATTATCACTACCTAGAATTCGCCTACACACATCATCGTTGCGGACACGCTGGTGCCATCCGACACCCGCAATACTTCGCAGACAACGACGATCAAAGACTTGAAGGCGCCTCAGATCTTCAGACCAAAGGGGGCCAAATCTCACTACCACAGAGCAGGACGGCTATCACTGTGTCCTTGTATACACGGCCTTTCAGGCGGAGAGAAACTCCCTTCTGTCGCCAAAAATGCTGCAGGTTCAAGAAGGCCGTTCTGGCTTTTGCAATGCGTGAACTGACTTCAGTTTCTATGTGTCCGTCGTTACTGGTGCACCTATCAAGTTAAGTGAACCGATCAGCCAGCTCGTTCCTCGTTGTTAAGGGTCAAGGGATCATCAAGTGGCTGGTGGTCCTGCAGCAACACATTGCACTTGGAAAGTGCGAAGCGCATACCAAATAATGGGACCACTCTAGACAGGCTATTAAGGATTGATTGGGCTACCCCAACGTCGTCAAGAAACAAGACGATATCGTCCGCATAATCAAGATCAGCTAACCTTTGACGAAGCAGGACGTCAACGCCTACGTCGTGAGATTCCGCAAGGGAACATTCCGTGATAGAGACCACGACGAAATTGAACAGAAACGGGGGCGAGAGATCGATAGATTGCCGCTGAATGACCATTTTTTGCCCCTGGCGGTCCCATCGAGACGTGTTGGCGTAGCCTTACGGCTTTAGTGTTTCGTACTTAGGATTTGGAAATCGATTTCTGCTTCATTTTGATAGTATTTCCATTCACGATAGATGATGAGGGCGTAGTAAGGAAATTTTTCCCGGTGATCAATATTTGTCCTAAATATCTCGTTGGAACATCCAGAGGCATAGAAAATGGTCACTTATGGCGCTCCAACGGACATTTGTTGGGCACTTGTGTTATGCAGCAATCTAATTCGAAAACCGGCAAACTGAGATCGAATACTCAGCTATACGTAGCGATATGCCCCCGGTAGCCCATTCTAATTAGAACGAGAGCGGCACGATTCTAAGCTATATCTGTGGGTGCCCGGTGGTAGTCAGCCTAATACATAGACAGCTGATCAAAGCCACGAGAATCAACAGATAGAGGGAGAGATATTAAATAGTGTTGGATTGATAGTTCACATAATCTGAATTCAAACAATGCATGTGAACCCTGTCAAAGCGTTAGAGCCAGCAAATATAACATTATGTGCATGTTGTGAGCTGGGTTGTAGCGGCCGGCACCGTGATGATGTTCTAGTCATCGTGCCTTCCACCAAAAAATCGTACAGGATAGAATGAGTAGTGATAAAATGGTAGTTTTTAAGAATTTAGAAAAGCAGGATTAAGTAAATTAGAGACTAGTTGAAAGATGGCTAAAAAGGATTCAGTTAAGCGATGGGGTACGGCCAGTGACCCGGGTGACTCCCAGATTCTCCAGAGTGCGCTTGTTAGACTCTGGGATTGGTCCACTTTGTGGTAACTACCCAAAAGTCTTTCGAAGTGCTCACTTTTGCGCCTTGGGGACAGTTGTCCATTAACGCCTTACTTGTTAGGGAACAACGAAGCACCACGCGTATCCGAGCAAACCGACCTAGGTGTCACGTTGACATCGAATCTCAAGTCGAGCGAAAACTCGACAAAGACTGCTTCCAAGAGATTCCGAATGCTGTGGATGATCCGCAGATCATTTGGAATCCTAACGCGTGAGACGTTTGTTAAACTACACAGCTATCATCAGACCTCACTTAGAGTACTGCGCTCAAGCCTGCTCCCCTTGCTTATTGCGGAACACCGACGGTTAAGACGTTTGAACACCGACATGACGCCCATAGTTTGCAGCTACAACTCTTCCGCTTCACATAGTCGGAATTACAATTTCGCATTCGTTTTCCTGTCTTGATTTTCAGAGTTCATTTTACGTTGTTTCTTTTTTCAGTTTCTTCTTCCTTCCTATTTCACGTGACCGGCACAGCGGGGAATGCTGGTGCAGGGCACGTGGGCGTTGATTGATTGACTTCGGTGTGACACGCGTGCCGATTGTACATTCTCGCCAATACTTACCCCGGCTCAAAGACACTTCCACAATGGAACATCCATGGGATTTTCCTGTCCCACTTGAACTTACATGATCTATTCTTAGGCACCAACTGTAATGCTTGGCAGCACGATTGAAAACTGCATCTGATGGTAGATTATGCTAAGCTTTTTCACGGATTCCTACTCGGATAGAATCCTATCAACTTAACAAGAGATCTGGTTTTTCGCATACCTCTCGAATGATTCATAGTATTGCGTGGGCAGGATACTGTCAGGTTGCCCAGGCCTAGACAGGAGAACGATTAGGGTTCTCAACCAAAGCCTTTAGTTCAAAAACCTGACCGCAAGGCAGTGGGTTTGGCGTTGGGCTACAAGGAGTCCGTTTTAAGGAATAAGGAGCCACCCTTATTCCAACCTCCAACCTGGAGGCTGAGTTCGTCTGGCCTCAAACCATTGACCAATCTGGTATGAGTGGGTCTGAAAGTGCGAAAAAGCACCACCCAGCATAGCTCAATGGATCTCTGAAGAACGCAAACCATCACACCACGGAAAGGTCAAGCCTCATTGCGAGTGCACTATGGGACTGTCTACTCAGGAAAGGTTTACCTGAGACATATGTAATTATTATCCGAGCAGTATACGCGCGTAGCTCAGGCAGAGTGAGGGCTTACGGCACGCTGGCGTCGCCCTTTAATATCTCCAACGGTGTGAGACAAGGATGCCCGCTGTCATCTTTCCTCTTCAGCTTCGCTATTGACGAAGTCATAAAAATCGCGTTCACAGGACACGACTTAGGTGTGGATCTGCTCCCAGGTGAACGACTTCTTGACTTGGAGTATGCTGATGATATTGCCCTAATATGTGACAGCCCACAAACGTGCCAAGCGGCACTGGACAGATTAGTACTGGCTGTCCGTCACTTCGGGTTTTGTTTCGCGCCCTCGAAGTGCAAAGCGTTCCTCCAAGATTGGCCTGGACAGCCTCCTACACTGACCCTTGGTGGAGATCAGCTAGAAGTCGTACAAAAATTCAAATATCTGGAAAGTTGTATCAGCGCCCGTGGGATTAAAAATGAGATCACCAACCGTATAGCGAAAGCTCGAGGCGCTTTTGCTAACCTTCGCTACTCATGGCGCCGGCGCGACATCACTCTCGCTCTGAAGGGTAGAGTGTACACTACAGCGGTACGTTCGACCCCACTGTACAGTTGTGAAATATGGTCCCTTTGATCAGCAAACATAATGAGGCTAGTTATGTTCGACCACCGGTGCCTTCGCAATTTAGCTCACCTCTGGTGGGAACACTGAATGAGCAACGAGCGTGTTCGACGTCTTGTTTACGGCACAAGAAAAGGAAATGAACCGCTCAGCACCGTTATTTCACGCACCAGGCTCCGATGGCTCGGCCACGTGTTATGCATGCCAGCCCACCGACTCCCGCGACATGCGTAGTTTGCGCGCCGGCGGTGGATGGAAGAAGAGGAGGGGTGATCAAGCGATGACTTGGTCGAGAGGAATGAAGGCCCTCACTTCGAAGCTGGCCTCGGTTGGAGCGTCTCGGCTCCCTGGTTAGGGTCCGAAAGACGATGAACACGTTTGGTTGGACACACTTGCTGATATGGTTAGGAGCCGACCTCAGTGGCGTTCGTGCTGAGATTCTTTGTCCCACCCCATCTCTCTTAGCATCCCCCTCCAACCACAATCTCACTAATTAACCTTATATAATTTTACATAGTAATTTTTTGCTACATAATAGCTGGCTCGTAGCTTACCGGAACGATGCCCATCCGTTACCGGTAGCTCAGCTGGCTGGCATCTGTTGCATTTCCCTTTTTTTATATTGCGGAACAGTAGCTGAGGTGTTTCCCACCTCTATCCAACGTGAATGATGATGATGATGACATAGGCCGACACATCTCAAGGGCAAAACGCCAAAAGTTTAGATACAGGAAAATACCCGCTTTGCGCAATGTTAATTGTTTAGTCCGCAGACACGAATGACCGTTCTTGTCGTACAAATGCTCGATAGGCGACAAGCTTACCAAAGGAATGTAAATGAGCTTACGAAATAATTCGAAACCTTCGTAGACGACATTTGTACCGGAAAGGTCTATGGATTCCAAGTGCAGATCCCCAGCGTACCGACTTGGAAGTCCGGAGTGAAGACCGGCATAACGGAAGAACCACTTTTCATTACCTACGAATTGTACGCGACCTCCGATTTTGCAAATCATGTGGGCCACTGCAAGATCAAGTCCAAGATGCTGTACAGCAGCAGGTGTTACGCTAAAGTTAAATAAATTGGGAACTGCTGATATCCAACCAACATTTGGCGAAGTTTATTTTGTTGTTTGACGTATGATCGAATCCAACTGAAAACTGCTGCCAAGTCGAGATCGTGTTTGTAGGTAAGCTTCATCTGGAGAGTCACAAACTGGTCTCCCAGTGGTTCAGAAGATCCATCAACCAGGCCCGTAAAAGCCTTGACTACCTTGCCATTCAGCATGATCTCCTTACACTTTAAAAGGAATATAGCGAGATAGTTACTTTACCTGAGGTTTACAATGCACAGATCTCGTATACCCGTCATCTTTTGCAATACTTTCAAAAGAAACCAGGCTGCGATAGCATGTTGCATGTCGCAGAATCGAGCAAAGACGCAGTGGGGAGACGCAGTATCGCATAAGTAGAATAAGCGCTTACGCAATAGAGGCAGACTAGGTCAAGTGGTGGACCGCGCTGCTCAGTAGTGTCAAGCGGATGTAAGATGTATCCGGTCGGGTGACCGACCTCATATGGCAAAATAGGCAAAGTAGGTTAGGTTGCTGGGTACAGCTGACAGCGTTCGACCTTCAAGTTCAAGTTCAATTGGGACCGGAACAGTAGGAAAATCCCGCGAATGTTCCACCTTTGAAAACGTCGTTGATCCAACAGGGAAAACGGTGCCTTGATGTGCCAAAGGAGAGCCAAAGCAACACACACGATTCATATGGTCAACCAAACAATGCCCACGTGCCCTGCACTAGCAGTCCCCGCTGTGCCGGCCACGTGAAGAATAAAAAAAACAGTAGTGTCAGTAAAGAAAAGAAAACAGAGAAGACAAGCTAATCTAATATCGTAGGCAATATTAAAATGTAAGTTAAAATGAGTTAAAGAAGCGTAAGCCGTAATAGACGCAGAAAAGTTTAAGACACGAAGGGGAAGACTTTAAACTGCAGACCGAGAGCGTCAAGTCGATGCTCGAACTCTTTCAACGTCGGTGCCATCACGACGTCTGCAGGCAATGTGTTCCAGTAAGCTATAACCCTACGCGATAATCTAAAAGTTGCCAAAACCCGGTCAGACCGGGGTTTGTGCAACTTTAATGGGTGGCCACGAAGGGTTGGCATTCGAGTTGGGCGAAACAGTCCAGTCAAATCAGGACCAATCTGACCCATCAATATACGATATGTAAGGACCAAGTGGCCTGAAGCCGCCTGTAATACATGGAAAACATATCCAACTTACGTAGCCTCTCCGGGTACGTCAGCTTCTTTAAGTCGTACACCATTTTCGTCCCGGACCGCAGGACTCGTTCAACTGCCATCTTATCACGAACCAGGCATGGAGGACAAGCCTGGACGCAGTATTCCAAGTGCGGCCTTGTCAAGTTGTTGAAAAATTGTATTTAATGGGAATAAATGCTCCAGCTTTACATGACCCATGGGGTAGAATTTTAGGGTCGGGTCTGATGGAAGGCTACTTTACCTTATGGCGGATTGGACTAGCTTAGCCGTATTTTCACAAGGCTTATGTGTCCATAAACGGAATGTATGTTCAAGTTCGATTGGGACTGGAACGATAGGAGAATCCCGGGAGTGTTCCATCTTGAGTGGATCGTTGAGCCAGGAAGTGATATGTGCTAAGAGGTATTGATAGATCTAAAACGGAACACCGTATCGCACCCTGGCCAACCAGTTAACGCCTAACTTTCCTGCCCTAGCAGTCCTTGCCGTGGCAGTCATGTGAATTAAGCAGATTATAGGAAGAGAACGCGAAGGTACTGAATAAGGAAGTGCAATTGAAATAAGAAAATAATACCAATGCGTGAAGAAAAGAAAATCGAGGTACGGAGATGCGTGTTACTCAGGAAAATGGAAGGGTTTCGTGTTGCCATCCAATAACGTCAAGTTGCTGCTCAAACATTTTTGTCGTAATTCTCTGCTAACACTTTCTGGAAGCATGTTCCTTCGCTCGATGACTCGTCATGACAGCCGGATTTCCGCCCTAATCCGATCGGACCGCGGGTTGTCCAGCTCCAAGGGATGTCCGCGTAGAACAGACTATCTAGTGGGTCTGAATAGCCAAGATAAATCTGTACCAACCTTCTCATTTAAGATACGGCAGGTTTGGATCAGGTCTCCGCTAGGCCTTCAGTAGGGTACTGAATACGTTCCAAAACTAAGTAGTCGCCCGGGGTATGTCAGTCCCCGGAATATCTCAACTAACGTAGTACCCAACGTAAACCCTGTCTAGCTCCATTTTGTCCCGGACAAGGCAGGGCGGACCAGCCTGGTCGCAGTATTCCAAATTGGGCCGAATGAAAGCCGAGAACAGGCGCGTACAGATACTGCCCGTCAACATTCCGCAAGATGGTCGTATTAATCACAACATGTGGAAATCTCTGTTTGTGGCCTTTTGCCAGTTGTCGCCGGAGAGTGCAGCCGAAGAGTGTACGACGCATAGATCAACCTGGTTAGGTACACGGAAGATTTCGGTCCGCCCGACCGAGTACTTCGCAGGAGGTCAATCTCCTCCAATTCGAAGAACGGAGCACTTTGCCTGATTTATGGGCAGTATCCAAGGCTCGCTGCATAGCTTCGGAACCCCAGGAACACCGCCAATTTTCCGCAGCTGCAGGTCATCAGCAAATAGCAGCGGGTCAGTCATTCACATAGATGGAGAACAGCAGCGGTCCAAGGACCGAGCCCTGCGGCACACTACTGAGGACAGACGGCCCAAACGATAGGCGACGACCTACCCGTACACACTGTTCTCTACCATCCAAGAAGGCAGTCACCCAATGAAGGGTGCAGCTTGATAGCCCGCAGGAGGTCACCTACTGCGGGAGAGTCGAATGTGGTACCTCGTCAATTGCCTTCGAAAAGTCGACGGAAAGCACGTCCAATGCGGGACTGTTATGTACTGCATCCCCCCCAACTTTTGCGAGCCAACAGTAGGTCCGTCAGATATGAACATCCTTTCCGCAATCCGTGTTTTACAGTGCTATTTAGTTTAAAACTACTCAGATGACTCTAATGAATCTCTCATCAGGTTCTCGAGGAGTTTGACTAATACACTCGTCAGACTAAATGACCTGTAATTTGCAGGCAGACTTGTCCCCATTTTTGCAGTTGGGACTGATGACAGCTTCCTTCCATTCGTAAGGTAATGCGCAGATATCAGGTGAGTTTTGAAACACCATAGCGTGCGGCCCACTTAGTTCCTCAGCCAACTCATGCAACACTTTTGGGTGAATTGAATCAGGCCTACAGGCCTTAGCATTGTTCAGCCCTTGTAGCCGCCTACCAACTTCCGTCTCCGCTACAAAATACAATTAGATAGTCCTGAACCCTGGGATCCTGCAAACCTGCTCAGTGCCTGTTAAAGAGTTTTCCCTTACAAAGGCTGCTGCACTTTGTTCACTAAGTACGCAGGCCTTGTCATAGTCCGCAAGCGCACGTGTACCGTCCTCCCGCATCAGTACTGGAATTGACGAGTTCAAACCGCAGCGCCCTTTGACATAAGCGTAGAATCTTTTTGGATGCTCTGAAGCTTCGTCTGCTAACCCTTTCTCGAGATTGAGCCGAACATTCCTCAAGCCTTGCTTACACCTATTTCTAGCCTTACTGTACCTGTCGTAATTATCAGTGGACGGAGCATCTTGGTAAGTCCGCCGACATTTAGACCACTTTGTGAGCAGATGCCTGCCCGTGGTATGCATTCAGGGCGGCTGTGCTAGTGCCATTTTTCTCCTTGTGACTGAGATGAACTAGCAGAGACTTCTGTGAGGTAGGACTTAAATTTATCCCAGGTAAGTTGGACAGTGTCCTCGCCTGAAATCTCGAAATGGAAACCCGAAGCCTCTACTCTCACTTATTGCTGGTCTGCGTGTCATATGTTTGGGAGAGACTCAACAGTACGCTGGTATTGTTTAGACAGTACAACTGAACGAAAAACAAACCTGATCACTGGAATCCAGTGGAGTTCCGTAAGTAATGTCACCAGCAAAATCGAGTGACTTAGCAAATAAAAAGTCCAAGATAAACGATACTTGGGCGTTCGTGTACCTAGAGGGGAGGTCAATGAACTGGTGCACAGATACTTGGGGCGTAAGCTGAAGCAGATCAGCGCCGAATGTTCCTGATGCTGAATCGCAAGAGGGATCTGCCCAACAAACCTTCGGGAGGTTGAAGTCGCCCAACACCAACCACTTGTTTGCGGACTTGGTGAGAATAAAGTCAAGTAACTCTTTGGATACTCTCCCAGGGCTTCTATACACAATTACAAATGTATCCCTATTTGACGATGTGCTAATCCTAACCGACAGAGCTTCAAATTTTGTCTGCCGACTGTTCCTCTCCTTCCGTTTTCTGACGTGTATGTCTTAGAGCTCCTCGCTTAAACTGAGGAACGGCCTCCATGTGTGATGGGAAAATTAACCAATGGGGAATTACCTGGGCCATGGGTTTACTTCAAAATCACTGCAGTCCAGTGAGGATAGCTGGACACGGATTCTTCACACTCCAAAAAATATACATAATCAGCGAAGGTGCGACCCCATACACCGGAAATTCTACTTACCTGCAACATCCTTCTTCCTTCTCGACTGGCCTTAACATCCATGTTGGACTCGGACTATGCCATTTGTTTAACCAACAGAGCGATCATTCGACTGCGAATAACTGAATAAAGAAATGGTTCATAAGAAGCTTTGCTACTCGTACCTGACCGTTCAAAGCGATCGACGACAGTTTTGCAGGACGTGGTGGGTTTTCTCCTGACAAGCGTTCTCCCTATAAAAGGCCACAAAAGTTCATTTATCAACACCGTGACGTGGCGAGTGTGACTCGCCATCGAATAAAGTCACCGCTCACTGTCATACGCTGGAATATCGACTAGTCATTGTTCAATATTTTACTTGCACGTACAACAAAGATACTCTCAGTCTTTACGTACTGTCCCCACTCCACCTAGTGTGCATTTTCTATTTAATCTAAGCACACATAAAAACAGGTTATCGGCACCTCACTGATGACTTTGCTCCTCATGAGCGCTTCAACTGTTTTTGTAAATTGCACAACTTTTGGCCACAGGCTATTACGTGCGTTGTAACGTATCTGTTGCGCAACCTAATTGCTTATAAATTTTGATCATTCCTGAGTTGGTGTGCCTCGATGAATTCGAGAACAAAATATTTATTTATTAATTACTTGCTTTAGTTCTAAATCTTCAAAGCGTCAAGTTTACAGCTCATATAAATAGCGACGCATCCTCCCTGCCGACCAGTGGAGAGATCGCATCTAATTAGTGCGTAGCTAGATAGATGTACTTCACTATCCGTGATGTACTGAGACAGCCAGATTTCAGTGCGTCCGCGTCTATCTCCATGACCCCCAAGTACAAGTAGACCTAACTCCTACACCTTATTCCTTAGGCTGCGCACATTACTTAGCACTATCCGAACATATTCGTTAAGTCCAGAGCTGGGTCGTGCGCTACCAGAATAGGCAGCGGTTGGGCAGAAAAGGGCCGCCGACTGCGCACCCAAAAACCCAATAACTGGAGATCTTGCTCACCGACCGCTCATG